GGGCCGCTTGGGCTTTGGCGGCCCGCTCGGCGGCGGCGGCGGCGGGCCGCCCTTGCCCTTTCCGGCGCGGCGCGTCTGGCTGTGCTTGGGGCCCGAAGGCTGCGGCGCCGCGTCGGTCAGCGTCGTGATGGCCTCCGCCCTGGGGCCGCCGTCGTCGTCCGAATCGCCATCATCGCCGCCGAATATTGGCTTTCGCTTGGGGGGCGCGGGTTTCGAGAGGCCGGGCTTTCTGCCGAGGTTGAGGCCGAGCGACAGTGGCTTGCTCATTGTCGGGCGGTTGTGGTTGGTTCCTCTTCCCCCTTGTCGATCTCTTGAGGTGTTGCGACAGACAAGAAGCTGGGGATCGCAAGGGATGGACGGTTGTGTGGTTGAGCAATTGGCTACCGCCCCGTTAGAAAATCCCCGCCTAGTGCGGCCGGGTTGACGGCAGGCTGCAATTGTGGGACCAACGCCCGCTGGTGGGGACCTGTGCAAAGTAGCTGGAGGCAAGTATTTAGGTCAGTGTTAAATACTACATGTTTAAACACCGATTGGAATAACAAACACATGGAAGGGCATTGCGTTAGAAAGAGACAATAGGTACCGAATAACCAAGCAAAACTAACTAGGGAATGCCCGGGTTTGGTCAAAGTCGGTCGTGAGATGCCAGTCGTCGAAGCCACAAGGCAGGCAATTCTATATGCGTAAACATCAAGCACAGCGTTACATGCAAAAGGGTTCTAGACATGAATAGAGAAACGATGAGGAATAAATGCGTCAAGGAAAGCGGAAAAAAAGGAAACGTGCACAAAACTGTCCGCCGCTGCTTAACCAGGTCATGGCCATTGCCCCCTGGATTCTTCATAACCCTCCTCGTATGCGGATATTGCATCCACAAAGAATTCACTCGGTATGCTCTCCCTCGCCTGCCCAAACGACAGTTGAGACTGGGATCTGTGGCCGTCGAGCTGACTCGACGAGCTCGCCGCCGCCTCGTCTCCCATCCTGGCCGAGGACGACGCGTCCACGTGGCCGCCGGCACCGAGGGGCACAGATGCCACGCCGCTGACGTCGCCGCCGTGTCCGTCGCTCACGAAGCCCGAGTCGGTGATGGAGCGGCTGTGCGCGATGCCGGGGGGCTCGTTCACGGACCTCGATGCCTGTGGCTTGACCGCGTGGAGGTCCTGGCTCTCGGCGTGCGGCACGTGCCGGATGGCCGACCGGTCCGTGTCTGACGAGGCGGTGCTAAGGGTCCTGTTGACCTCGGGGATCAGGCCGTCGCGGTCCACATCGGTCGACTGCGACGTCATGCCGCCGACCAGGCTTTCCTTGTCCGACATGCCAGAGTCCTGTCGCTTTGGGCCTGGGGCCCCCTCGGCAGGCCATGCCACCGGCTCCCCGAGGCGCGGCTGATGGCTGCTTGCCTGGGCGTCCTCCCCTGCAATGATAGATGTCATCATCTTTAGCAACTGTGCTGTAGTATTTTCCAAGGCCTCAACCCTTTCTGTGAGTGACTGCGATGTTCCGGCTTGCCTGACCACCGAGCTAGCCGGATTAGATTGCGTCGGCACCGGAGCTGCCAGGGTGCTTGGCGAAGCTCTATATCCGTCCCGGTATACAATCGCTGTCGTCGATGGTGGTAGTCGACTGTTGCTTGGCTGTGTCGCGTGAGCCGACACCGGGGGCGAACCTTCGTCTGCCAATCTAACACAGAATGTGTCGTAAAGCAACCGGAACTTTTCTCTCTTACTCCGCGACACTCGGGGGCATCCGGGCTCGTTGATATGCCGGTTGAACGCTGCGCGGTCCGTATAAGCCCTCCAGCACTTCCGACAAAGGCCGGCGGCCGGGTGCCGGATTCCGGCCTCATAAGTGACATCGAAGGACGAGATGTACAGGTCTTCGACCGTGAGCCGATGAGCTGCCCGTTTGAAGTGACGCCTAGTCGCTGTTTGTCTTAGCCATATGCGGGGGTCAAATACCTCTCTTGAGACGGATCATCTTGAGCACTTTCCGGCTCGGGAAAAAAGCGACTTACACTATTGTGCTGATCTGGCTGTGTGTTGTGTAGCAGGGCGAGTACCGAGAGTTCGTCTCTCGTTTGTAGACGTCCGGGTTCGCTAATCGAAACGGACATTCCATCGCCGCGTCATCGAAGCCGTCCTCGAGGGATGCTCTTGGCTTTTTCCTCGGAGGTGGCTCGTCGTCACCGTCTTCATCGTCGTCCCCTTCAGCGTCGTCGTCTTGATTGCTGTCCAGGTCTCCATCCGCATCATCGTTTCCATATGCGCCATCATGGCTGCCAGTTGCACGGCCTGCGACGGTTGACATATAATCGACGCTGCGTTTGTGGCGGTGTCCATGTTCGGGTTTTGCCTTGTTCTCGGCGCTGGTTTGCCCAAGAGCAGCTCGTCGATCATCTGAATAATCCCTTTGACCTTGAATGTCTGGACAGGGGGCATCAAGTGGCGGTAACGGCATGAAATCCGGGATTGGGCTGTGAGCAACTTTTATGGCTGGTGACAACAAAATCTCAGCATCACCAGATGCATTGTCCAGCGGGGCAGGCCAGGCAGCGGTAGTGGCCGTGAAAAGACTGGGAGGCAACTGTGCCAAAACAGTCTCCATTTTCTTGAGCTTCGTCGGCGGAGAGTCCCAAGGGAGGAAGATATTTGACTCCTTGTCGGTGTAATCAAAAGTTTCCAGGTCATATTGGGGTTCCCGCGCATCTGAAGGTGCGTCCAGGGGAAGATCATGGCTGGTTTCTTGATTGTTGGCGGCAAGCCCGGGGTCGAGGAGCTCCGGATCCAGCGGCGGTGGATGAGGCTGATAGGCCCACGGGAAAACCGGAGGGTCTGACTGTTGGGTCTCGCCGTCCTCTCCGGCATGTCCGTGCGGTGATCTATCTCCTTGCTCTTGGGGCTCTAGACATCCGGAGGTGTTGGCGCCCGAGGACAGGCTCTGACGTGGTGGGCGGCTTCGGACGTATTGCCAGCCGTGATTCTTCTCCATGTGCTGCTTGCAGTTGCTTTCCCTCTTGGAGGTGTAATCGCAAGGCTGGAAGGTGCAACGGAAGACTTGAGGGGACGCAGAATGCTTGTCGTTCTGATGGCGAATAAGTTCTTTTTCCGTAGGCCATCCTCGTTCCTGGAACTTGCAGCCCAGAATAGGGCACTTGAAGGGGCGACTGTGGGTCTTGTAGTGCTTGTTGAGATCGCACTGGCGAATGTAGCGCTTGTGGCAGACGTCACAACTGAGGTCGGAGGGCTCTGACGCTGCACCAAGTTGGATGTCAGTCACTCTCTTTCGGCAAGCGAACAGCCCTGGCTTACTGGAAGCGGCCGACAACTCCGGAGCGTGTCCTGCTTTCATCATGGTTTGCTTGGGGATGCCCCAGAGTGCGTGCGAGCTCTGACAAGAAGCTACCGAACAAGGAGCAGGGGACGACAGACGACGGCGCCAAGGAACCTAGGGTTTCCGAGGAGAGACGATTGCGTAAGCAGGGAGCTATGTGGCTACCCAAGGTACTTGGGAGGATGTTTGAAAATGGGACATATCGGAGACGAAGGCGGCGATAGATTGATCAATGTTTCTGGCGCACAAACGCAAGTAGAAGGTTGAAGGAGAGGTGATAATAGATGGTAAAGGAAAAAGGAACGGCGAAGCAGGCTATTGCGGTTCCCAACACCGCGCCCACTATGCCCACACACACTTATGAGCAAACAGACGCCTTGGGTCCGTGGTGGTTTGTGCCTTGCTGCGGGGAAGAGTTTGCCTGCTCTGGGAGCAACCGGACCCATTCAATCCAACCCACGGCCGTTGACGGCGGCCGGCAAAGAGGTTGGTGTGAGAGCCTCAGGCCAGACTGCTGGGGCTGGGCAAAGAAAGTCCTAGAATGGGGTGGTGGGATGGAGGCAACCGCTCAAAAACATCAAGTCATCCTTGGTGTGGCTGCCAGGAACATGATCCAGCTTGAGGGGCTGGGGGGCGTCTGTTCATGCAACAGACTTATGCTGCAGAGGCCGGCGACGAGAGCAGCCGGGGAACAGTCTCTTCTAGTGCTGATCTGACTGGAGAGGAGATCGATATCAGATCCATCTGCAGCACCAAGTGCGGTCGTTGCAACAGGTCAGGCTGCATTATGACTCCTTCGAATGCTGGGCGGCCTGTCGTGAGACCACCCCCTTGCCCCTGTCCTTTTTCTCCTTCGCCGCCGGGACTGCTCAGTCCTGCCAGCCTCAGTGCGGGATCGACCGGGGTGGGTAGCACGAGAGGCGCACACGTCACGGCTGGCAGGTCAGGAACGCGGAGGGGAAGCGTGACGATTGATGCGGCACTGGCTGCCAAAGGAGAGGGCAGCTGGTCAGGCCAAAGGTCAGACCAGAGCGGGAGGGATGGGCTGCGGGGTGGCTGAGCTGCGGCTGAACCGAATGGGATTGGCTGCCTTGCTAGTTGGCGGCCTCACGTGCAGCCAGGCAGCGACCCATCCAAGCCACAGCTGGAGGTGTGGGATGCGGCACACCTCGTGCGTGGAGGAGGTAGCTGACCAACAAGCCAACCAACAACCATGTGCATGGAACCAATAGAGCCACAGCCCGAGCTGCAGCACACACTCGAAAGAGTGGATTGGCGGCCTCGCAGGCAGGCTTCGACTGGTCGGTGACGGAACTCCGGAGGGGATTGCGGGATCGGAGCGCGTCCGAGTGCGGAACGACACGGCGCCGTCGTCGGTCCATTGGACGGCGTCCCTGGAAGCCCACACGAGGAAAATGGCGGTTGAGATTTCCACCGTCTCCTCTCTTGCTTGGTGGCTGTGCGGAATGGCTCCGACAGTCTGCACCAGGTCTTGCAAGATGGAGGAGGAACAGTCGCGTGCGCCCGCCGTGGGAAGGATGGAGTCCTAGGACTTTGCGTCCGCTGTTGACATTGTTGACATGATTGAGAGGGGCAGAGAGGGGTTGGGCGGGAGATGGAGCCATCTGCTCCTCCTACCAAGGACCAGCTGTCCGTGCTCTTGGGCCAGTGTCTGCTCCAGTAGAGAGGGAGAGTCGAGGTCGTCGGCCATCTGCCAGAGGAACACGATGTTTTTTTTTCACCGGCTCTCGGGGTGTTCCACGGTCGTCGGACACGGTCCCATATCGTATCGTGTAGGTGCTGCAGAGAAGAGGCCGTCGAGATGAGCAAAGGTGGGGTGCGAGGAACGACGGCTGCTGCCCTCTTCAGTCAACGACACGTCCTCGGACCCGTAGCCGCGACGTGCGGGCCCCGGCCGGAAAGAAAACAAACATGTGCTGGCACTCGGAGGAGTGCATCCAAAAACAGATGCGCCGTGCCACGTATCACGCATCACGCATCTGCACACAGCCCAGTGCCCCCCGCCAATGCAAAGGGGAAGGGATAGTCGCGATGCACAAACCCAGCTCCACAGCAGCCGTTACAGATTCGGAGAACAGCCCGTAATGCAAATTGGATTCCCCACGCCTGCTGTTTCCGTATGCGGAGCAGAGATGGCGCGACCAGCCCCATGTTCAGCCATGTTCAGGAGTTGCGTGGGGCACCCCTTTTCTTCGTCTTCATTTTTAGATTTCTCGAGAGCCAGCCACCGAGCCCGGCTCCTCACCCTGTCTCCTGTCCGTGGTGATCTTGGCTTCACGATGCGGCTCGGGAGTCGGGAGACCGTTCGCTTGTCATCATCACCCTGCCCCTGCTGCCAAACTCGGTGCGCCACTCCCCGCATTGGCATTGGGCCTTGTCCTAGCCAGGCCGGCCAGGCTGTTGTGAATGATTATACTGGCAGTTGATGATGCAAATATTGGGGGCGGAAGGATATCTAGAGGGAATATGCACTAGTATATCACATGCAAGGGTCCTGCTAGAGCGGGTATATTATGTGATTTCCCGAAACGGGGTCAATCGTAGCCAATCTGACGGTCCAGAGCCCGAGTTCGGTTCTTGGTATGATGAGTGCGACGGTAAAGAGGGGATGCCATCTGGTGCCCCCTCGGTAGTCGGTAGCACAGACACCACCAGCCACCTCTACAGGCACGTGGCATAACAGCCGTGTTGTGCCAGCTATACAATGTTTTGGCGGCCATCGAGACCCCGTGGTGGAGATTTCCTACCGACACCGCTTCCCGCGTTAGCAAACCTAGACCCGAGACAGCGCTGCTAGCTGCTGCGGGCAGCCATGGATTGATGACGCTGTGCGAATCGGGTGGCACGAAGACCTTTGGGGGTGGGAAGCGTGGAAGCTTACCGCAGTTTGGCTTCTCGCGACTGGAGGGCGAGCACGAGCGGCTACGGGCTAGCGCCCTGCCAGGCGGCAGCACGTAGGATGATCGGAAGTGACGGTGGCGACGGTACTGACTTGGATCACACCCCAAGAACGGAAAGTCGAAAAGAAGATCAGCCACTGGGACCGTTGGACGGTGGTGAAATTAAGATGACCGGTGCCCACCCGGCGGCTGCGTTATTTCAGCGGTATTTCGCTTCGGCTGCGGTGAGCTAGGAGTTGACTGATTGCTAGGTACTCCTAGTAGTAGATACGGACGGGCTGGTTTTATTGAGAGTTTTTTTTATCACTTTTATTTCATTCATTCACGACTTCCCGTTCCTCTGCTTGCAGTTCCTTCTGGCACGTCTTAGGCTCCCTCCCCCATTGCCCCCTCGTCGGTCCCCCTTGGCGCCCTCTCTGGCTCTGACGACAGGCACAGCCAGGGTGGCCAGCCCTTGAGCGAACTGCGCCGTCGGGGTACTCCGGCGCATGTCGTACCTGCATTAGGCGCTGGCCAAAATAGGATAGCTTGAGGATGCTCCCCACAACGACTGCATTCAGACGACCAAGGAAATCTCGCAGTCGGTCAAGCACCAAACTAGCCCGAGAGTGGTTGCTACGAAGCATCGGCCAATCACGTCCATCACCTCCTTCCTTTGTGCAACCAGTGCCTTTGTTTGTCAGCTCCCTACTGTGGTAAAAGGCGGGCAGGTCGGGGTGGATTGGACAGCGAGACATTGACCCAGCCACCGGCCACGTCCGAGTCGTGTGCTCGGCTCCAAAGCTTGTGTGAACGGTACTGGGCCTCGAGGGGGCCTCGAGGTTGTGAAGCAGAATAAGCGTCTTCCGGAAGCAAACGCACAGAGAAAACAAAACGTGCGCCTGTGGCCCAGGCATCCAGGTTAGGAAATCAAGAGTGCGGGATGAGAGGGCCGAAAAAATAAGCAATAAACCACATCCGTGCCACGGCTGTGCGCGCTGGGCAAATCACATACTTTTTGGTGCATCCTGGGGGTGCCTGTCGCTGACGTTGGGTTGGGCCGGCTGGAATTGGCGGCTCATATTGCCAGACCGCATTCAAGTTATTAGTTATTTCCATCTCGCCTCCGCACACTGTGCCGTGTGAAATTTGCTAGGACCGTTTGCTCCCAAGCCCATCGAATCGCCGCCGCCCATCGCAATCCGCAATCGCGTCAGGGAGGTGCCGCGACCACTTGAATAAGCGCCCCACAGCAGCAGAGATTGCTGTTCATGTCGGGTGGCTTGCTCTTTCCTCTTCCCCCTTAGTCCTGGTCGCGAAGGTGGGGACTAACATGAGGGCCGTCTGGCCAATGCGCACCCTGCCGCGGCTGCTGTCCATCCCCCTTTTTCCTGCCCCGACCACCCCTGGCTAGCGTCCACACCCGGGCGCGGATTTGCAGATGTGTAATTTCCCGCCCGTCCAAGGCGACAGGAGGGCAAGCGTTGGAGGGCATGGAGTGTTCGATGGGCGAAGCGCAACGCCGGGCCGGGGGTGTGCGTGAGCCAGCGCCAGAGTTGGGTCTGGTGTGGGTAGAGGCGGATTGCGGTGAGGGTTAGGAGGGGGAGAAGAAGACCAGTGGGAGGGCAGCCGGGTCCAAGGTCCAGCATCGAGTGTATTTAATACCGACCTCACCCTCGCTTCCCTCCGTCATTTCTTTTCCTCTCTTCAGCCAACAAGCCAACCTCAGCTTCTCGAGCATCTTTGACTCACTTGACTTCGGTCGTCCACTCTTTAACAAACGCTCTAGCTTCTTTGCTACCAGCAACTTACATTCGTTCACTCCTTTCTCCTCCAGAACCTTTTCGTTCTCACCCCCGCAACCAACAGTCAAGATGCGCTTCACCGCCACTGCCGTTGCCTTCGCCGGTGCCGCTGCCGCGGCCGGCTCGACCATTCTGTCGACTGACTACGTCACCGTCACCTCGTGCGGCCCGACTGTCACCAACTGCCCGGCTGCCTCGACCACCGTCTCCTCCAAGGTCTACGAGGTCACCCCCTCCACCGTCTACACCACCAAGGTCAAGACCATCACCTCGTGCGCTCCCGAGGTGACCAACTGCCCTGGCAAGACCGGCTACGTCGTGACCGAGACCATCCCCGTCTCGACCACCCTGTGCCCCGTCACCAGCACCAAGCACTACGGCAACGGCACCTACGTCCCCGTCCCTCCCACCAAGGGCAACGACCAGCCCCCCACCACTGCTGTGTCTAAGCCTCCCGTCGTCAAGGGTGGTGAGAACCCCGGCACCACTAAGGTCCCGGTCCAGCCCGCTTGCCCGACCTACTCGGTCAAGACCATCTCCACCTCGGTTACCACCGTTGTCCCGACTGTCATCTACGAGACTGTCTCCATCCCCTGCCCGGCTCCCACCGGCCCCGCCACCGGCACTGGTGTCCCCAAGCCCCCCGTTGGCGGCAACACTACGTGAGTATTCGACCTCCCTCCTGACGTTATTGGTAACCTTAGAATACTAACCACCTCTTCTCCAGCGCCCCTGTCACCAAGCCCACCACCCCGGTCACTGCTGGCGCTGCCTCGCTCGGCGCCTCTGGTGTTCTGGCCGCTGCCGCCGGCCTCGCTGCCGTCTTCCTGGCCTAAGCGCGACCACTCCCGTATATAAATAACATCCTCTCCTAGCGTTCGAGAAGCCTGGAAGGCTATGGCATTTATCATGTGACTTGGGAGCTTTCGGCGGCGGCTTTCGGCGGCGAATATCTGTGAAATCAAGCTCTCAGGGATGTCTAGCTAGAGCATGGCACGGCAAATATACAACGTGTAACCTAATCTTCTAATACCGCGGGGTGCTCAGAGGTCTTGGTTGTGAATCTGGAAATCTAGAGCCCCATTTTGCAACTCTTGTCTGAATTGTGACAGTAATTATCTTTTTTTTGCTTTTGAGAAAATCGTCGGCTGTGGCGTTTCCGTCAACTTTCGTTTCCTTTTCCAGCGGCACGCGCATGAGACATACATCCTACGGGAGGTAATATCGACTAGACGGAGAACCTGCCCGTCATCCGTTTCGTTGTTTTCAGCCCTCCCACGTTCATATTCCGAACCAGGCCATGATGTGACACCAGGGAAATTAAGCCGAGGGTTGGAGCGCCACGATTTATTGGCTGCTCCAGCCCCAAGATTCTTACTACGTCAAAGCGCGAGCAAGCACCCTTGCGTGATGACAGCGGCGGCTCTGTCAAACTTCTGGTTCAGCTGATCATGTGCTGGTCTTGCAGGAGCAGTTTGGGTGGGCGAAAATATCGACGGATTTTTGCCAATATAGCCACTCGCTCTTGGGTATATGTACTTTGCGATAACGCAGCGTTCGGGAAATGGCTGGAGGTCAAGGGAAATAGCAGCATACGTCAATACTGTTAATACTTTTGGACGCAAATTCAAATGCCAATAAATGCACTCGCGGGTGTGAGAATATATTATAGCGAATTGATGGTTTAAAGCGAGTTGAAGAAACTGTTTATATTTTGTCCCTCACGTGTAGATGCCAGTAGTCTATCAGCATGCCCCATCTTAAAACATCAAAAGTGACTAATTTTTTCTTTTTGCAACAGTTCGTCGCTTGGATGTCTATCGCGCGTGTTTGCTCCCTTCAATACCAGGTGGCCTGTTCTCTGGTAGTTAGGCTTATCTCAACGAGAGGCCATTTTTGGTACCTCAGGCATAAGCTCTCGTTCGCATTCGCTTAGACTTCCCGATTCAGAACCGCCTCGACCAACTCACCAATGAAACCGCCTCGATCCTATTGCGCAGCCTTGGTCATCGATATACGCATCACGACGGCATCCCGGGCCCCTTTTTTTTCTATGCTCCGCCTACCTCTAGCCTACGCGTCTTCCCTTTACTTCCCCTGCTACCGGCCTTCTCACTCCGCCTTCATTCCTTCTCTCCTTGTTGATGTCTGAAGACAGCCCAGCCAAACCCCCTGCGGGATCGATGTCGCGGCCATGCTGAGCTGTCAGGTTACGACAGTCGATTGAGGGCGCGCGTCAGATCGGTGGTGTGTCTAGGTTTAGAAATATGCCAAGGTCAGCGGCTATGCGAGTGCGAGGTAGAGCCCACATATATCTACTCGGAGACGGGCAGACGTTGGTGTTTGCTTGTTTGTTTGCTTGTTTGTTTGCTTGTTTGTCTGCTTGCTTGCTTGTCTGTTTGTATCCGTGTTCGTTGGGAGTCGCCTCTACCTGTACTTACTCTACTTCCTACTTTTTCCAATCCCAAGTCTCCGAGTTCCATTCTCCTAGAGCACTCTAACCAACTTCCCTGATATAAAGAAAGTCGACGGCCTCACCACCCTGCCTCCCTTCTCTTGAAATCACTACTACATACACATCCCACCACCCCGGACATGTCCACCCAACCAACAGCCCCCGGAGTGCCCGGGGGCGGCATGCCGCCGGCGCCCCGGTACCCGTTCGTCGTCTTCGGCCCCGGCGCCAACTGCACGCTCGAGCTCTGCCCGGTCGAGATGAGCGTGTACGGCTACCGCCCTTCGCTGGCGGCCAACTACGCCTTCATCGCGAGCTTCGCCCTCGCCGGCGCCGCCCACCTGGCCCTGGGCCTGCGCACGCGCAGCTGGTGGCTCATGGGCGCCATGTGCGCCGGCTGCGTCGTCTGCATCCTGGGTTATGTCGGCCGCATCATGCTCTACTACAACCCGTGGAGCTTTGCCGGCTTCATGGTCCAGATCGGTAAGGGCGAAAATATGCTCCAGCTTCTGTCGGGATTTTTTTTTCCCCCCATGACGCGCTGGCCCCATTGGCTGACAATGCGTAAAGTACTCGTCGGATCCGGCCCCGTCTTCTTTTGCGCCGCTATATACGTGACGCTGTACAAGCTGTAAGCCTCGAAAGCCTCTGCTCCTCCCCACCTAGACTTCCTAGACAACCAGGTCCCGGATCCTAACACCCTCCCACTCCACAACAGCATAATCTTCCTCGACCCGACCCTCTCCCGCCTCCCGCCCCGGTCCTACATCTGGACCTTCCTCTTCTGCGACGTGGTCGCCCTGGTGCTCCAGGCCACGGGCGGCGGCCTGTCCACGTCAACGGGCGGCCGGTCCCAGGCCGGCGTCGACATGGGCCTGGCCGGGCTCGCCTTCCAGGTCGCCACCATGCTGGCCTTCTCCGCCAGCCTGGCCGACTACCTGGTCCGGTACCTGCGGTCGCCGGGCCGCCCCCCACTGGGCGCCCGCCTGAGGGTCTTTCTCTTCGCCCTCGGCGTCGCCACCGCCCTGATCCTGGGCCGGAGCGCCTACCGCGTTGAGGAGCTGAGCAAGGGCTACTCGGGCCCGTCTATCCGGAACGAGTCGCTGTTCATTGGGCTTGAGGGAGTGTGAGTTTTCCCCTTCACCATCCCTCGAGAGATGCAGTTGCGATAGGGTTGGCTCTTTGGGCACAGCTAGTTCTAACACGAAGAGGACAAAATCCTAGCATCATCGTCGTTGCCGTGTTCTGCCTCTGTGTCGGCCACCCTGGTCTCGCACTGAGGGATCGCACACTCGGGACCCATCACAACACTGCTTCCCCGAACGATAGCCAATCCAACTCGGCAAGCCAGACAGAAAAGGCCAACCAGAGCGCCTAAAGTTCTCTTTTGTCTTCCTTGTTGATGAGCAAGCAGACGGCGTTGGGCCATTCGTCGGGGATATGATGGGTCAAGTATGGTCAAAACCTGAGCATGCGATTAAAAGAATAATACCCAAGTCTATCATAACATACCAACCAACACACTTTGCTCCTCTACCGTCTCAGTGTACACTGCGCGGCCACGCGCCATGTTTCCCCCCTGACTGCTTCAACCATGAGTCTAGTCCCTTTTCGCTCGCGCGTCCGCATCACCGACGACCACGGGCGATGTCAGGGGCATCTTCTCGCTGCTGCCTTGGTCGGCATAGTCGGCCTCGTCTTCTGTTATGACGGCCTCCTCGTCGCCATCCAACTCCAACTCCTCGTTGGTGGTTTCCTCGTCGGTGGCGTTGACCGACGACGTACCGGCCGCGTCAGCCCTCAGAAGTGCCTTGAGATCGTCATCGCTGATGATGCTCTCGACACTTCCACGACGCACGTGCGGGCGCGTCTCCCTGCGGCCCCTCTCGAGCAGGCGCTCGATGCGAAGTCGGTTGGAGACAAACTTGACCTTGGGAAAGGCCGACTGCTGGCCCTCGTGCAGCATGTGGGCCAGGCGCGCCGGGTCAGGGTCCGAGAGGATATGCCAAAAGTCTGAGATGACCGACTTGGGCCATATGGTGACGGTGCCTCCAAACTGCTGGAGCCACAGCTGGGACCAGTCTTGACCGAGCGGTCGCGGCAGCAGCTCCAACTGTCGGAGAACCTTTAGCCACTTGGTAAGGTCCAGTTTGATGTATTGCTCCGTGGCGCTGCCCAGGAAGCCGCCCCGCCAGCCGCGACCCCTGCGGTGCGTAACCGGCTGCCCGACGGAGCCGCGGCTCGAGAAAAAGAAGAGGTTGATGTGCGGGTTGACCTGGCTGACAATGGTGAAGTTGACGTTGAACTGCAGGTTCAACGCCCGGATGGGGATATCGGTCCGCAGGCTGCCGTCCTTCCACTTGTGTCCAAACGAGTACGGTGCCAGGCTTCCGTCGGCCTTTTTCATCATCAGCACCACCGGATTGAGGATGCCCGGCACAGCCGCCGACGCCAGCACGGCCGACCAGATAACGCAGTCCGGGGAGGTCAGGTAGTTGCACAGGATGGTAGGTGAGTGTGGGTCGGCCGGCACGCACGACACGTTCAGGATCCGCCCTGTCCGCTCATACGCCTCGCGGAATGTCATGGAACCGCGCGTCCACCACGCGCACTGCTTGGCCCAGTCCACCGAGTCGAATCGCGCCCCTGTTTTCCACCATCGTCGTATCCAAGTCATCATAGACTCGCGGCAGGCTGTGAGGTGCACAGCCAACGAAGGTACCAACAGCTTCCTCAACTCTTCATTGGTGCGCGTTGCTACAAGCCCCGCCACGAGGGCACCCCCGCTCGTGCCCGTGATGACGTCCGGCAGCAGGTCCTCCTCCAGAAGCGCCTTGACAACGCCAAAGTGGTAGTATGCGAACGAGGCACCGCCCGAGAGGCACAGAGCCGTGCGACCGTAGTTTGCATATGTCCGTTTGAAGATGCTCCTCTTTTCCTCCAAGCTCATCTGCTGAGTCTTGAGGAGAAACTCCAGGCTTTTCTCGACTGCCGGTAGACGATGAGTTTGTTAAAAACGAACACTAGAATTGGCCAATATCAGCCAAGCAGGGCGCGGTGGGAAATCTCACCTTCATCTACATAGTTCTGCACCAGGTTCTTGGTGCCATAGTAAGTTTGGCTATAGAGCCGCGGATTTTCGACTCCAACAAAGTTGTTTTTGATGCAGGCCTCGAGGAGGACCTTCAAGTCCTCTACAGCCCCAGACTTGGCCGAGTTTGCCGATCCCGGGCCTTCACCGTTCTTGGTGTCTCCGGCACTAGAAGCCTCGACTTGCTCTGCTCGTATCCTGCAACGGCGGAGCTGCTCCCAGACCCTGCGGACGGTTTTACTGTCGTAGTATGCAAACTCATTCTGCTCCTTCCAGGCACCATTTCCCAGGAAGGAGTCGAGCTGCTTGGCAGCCGTCACCCAGTCGGGGTATTTCGAGGTGGCTCGCATGTTGCGGCGCAGCGTCTCGCGCTTGCCCCTCCACGCGATGAACTGCTCATATATCGAGATGTAGGCGCGCGTGGCCATGTAGCCGATAGCCAGCCCCACGATCCATGCTCCCACTATGAGCAGAAACGGCCATTTCAGCAAGGCATACAGGTAGCCTTCGCGGGTCTCGTCCCTGGTCCGCCGTCCCGGCGGCGCTGCCCGCGAGCGCCGGCGCCGACGAGACGAGCTTCCCTTGCGCCGCTGCTGGCCCGAGCCAACGACCTTCTCGTGGACGGGCGCCCAGTCAGACTGGGCCGTTATGAACATGGGCTGCTGTGTGGGAAACGCAGCGCCCCCGTTGCTGGCGCCCCCGGCATCGCCAGGGCCAGGTGCCGGCACAGTCTCGCCAGCGGCAGCGGCGGCGTGTGCGGCCACGAGCTTGGCGTCGTCGGGCTCGGCGATGACGGTCGACGCGCGCTTGGTGAAGTCGAAGCTACTGCTGAAGCTGAGCAGGCTAGGGCTGCGAAGCGAATGGTCGTCGGCAGACGGGGCGGGCACGTCGGGGGCCGAGAGGGCCTGGACGAAGGCCTCTATATCTTTGGGCGGAAGGAACTGAGTGTCGGCGTCGGGGAGGATGGACGGATCGAAGGCGTCTTCGGGGAAGCCATACGTCCTGGGCGGGAGGGTTACTTTTGGCTCATCCATTGTGTCGAGCGCCGCGGCCGAGGGCCAGTGTCATGACGCGGTTGCACCAGGACGGCTGGCGGTTGGGTTGGATATCGCCGACGACAGCGGGAGGAGGACTAGGATTGTTCAGATGGCTGCTGTAGCTGTCGTCGGCAGGTAGGACTAGGCGAGGACAGGGAGGAGTGGTGTTGTTCGTCTAGTGTTTATCGGCTAGGGCCCAGCGTAGCGCCGTGGGAAGGTAGGCAAGATTTGGGTTGGGCCGGACTAGCCTAGTGTCGCGACGTGGCGTGGGTGTGGTGTTGTCGCTGCCGTCGTCGAGACGTAATGAGGCGAGGTCCCCCAAAGCTACCTTACACTCAGGGACCTCTCCTGGGGCGGCGCCCGTCTCCCAGCGCCAAGGTACCCACGCAAAGCAACAGCGTTGGGAAGGGCGATGGCTACCAAGGCAAACCCGAAACCAGCAGACAGACAATGACTGGCAAACCTCGCGTTACCGTAGGTGGTGCCAGACCTGTCGCTCAAGGTAACCAAGAGGTAGGAACGCAGTTGCTCAAAAGGGATTGTGACTGGTGTGCCGTTTTGCAGCAGGTGCAGCCTGCCCCCGTTGTCGTCAATCGCGTGCCCTCGCATTGAGAGCTCTGGAATACATGCTTGCACGGGTGGTGCGACGCCCTAACTGGTCCGTGCGGAATGACGTCGTCCAGGATAGCACGGTGGCTAAAGCATCCAGCCGATTCCATACCGAGCACTAATTGAAGCCCCTGTTGTCTAGTCCTGAGGTCAACCTACGTATCTCCTTTCTATTTGCGATACCATTTCGTGTTTGCTATGCCTTTTTCTTTCGCCTTTTTCTTTCCTGTGCACTCGCTCAAGATTGATTGCTACTTGGGTATGAAATCTATTCGGTAGCGAGACACAAAAGCGGTGGAATCACCTCGGATCCTAACCGAAATGCTAGTGTTGAACCGTGGCGTGCCCCACCAAGCTCTCAAAAGGGGGCCGATAAGGAGCCCGTGAGCTCCCGACAGTGTCAACAGGTTGAATGCCACCCAGCACGGAGGAGGCTCAGCGGCACCGGGACGGCAAGGGCTATTGCTACCTGCCTTGGGGGAAACAGGCTCAACTATTGGCCATTGGCCATTGGGTGGGCCTTTCGGAATCGACGCCGAGACCAACATATAAAGACCGTCGGCTTTCCCGACAGGCCGGACGTGTTGGACTGACAGTGGGAGTAAAGTTCCAAGCAAGCAGTTCCAGTGCTTGTTGCCTACCAAACGAGTCGAACTGTGGAGGATACCATCAAAAGTGCGCTGGGGAGACAAGCGACACACATGGGCAAGGCATACTCTAAACCAAATAAAGAGATAATAAAAGGACAGATATTGTTCTGATCGTGCCAGCATAGCAAGTTCTCTCTCTGTTCTCGTCATCATGAAATAAAACAAAAAAATCCAAGGTCTGCACCTGTAGTACCCACAGACTCCCCCCTGATCCGGCGGAACACAACCTGCGGAATGGACACCTGACTGGGTACGCTTTGTAGGTGGTGGCATACACGGCAGAGCATCAAACGGGATTGTGCTCCATGGGCTACAGGAAGGTTGGGGTTACGCGATCGCTGCCAACCGGTATGCTACCTCCCAGCACCTGTATCTAGCCCACCGGCTCATCCTTTAGACGTACTGGGACAGCCACCGGATGCCCTCGCCGTATCCTACACGCGCGATTAGTGTTAGCGTCAACAGACATGGCAATGAGACGGTGCAAAGAGCCGCGGCCATGCCCGCAAATAGCCAGCACGTACCTTGCCTCATGACGACGGAGCACATGAAGACCTCAATGGGTCTGATGCCCTCGAGGGGCTGCTTGCCCTTGCCCGTGGTCTGGAACAGACCGAGCTGGTGCCTCAGCTCATCCTCAGAGATGGCCTCCGGGTGGTCGATCTTGTTGCCCAGAATCACAAACGGCACCTTGGCCAGCTCCTCCATGGACAGTAGCGCATCCAGCTCGGCCTTGGCCTCGGGGAAACGATCGTGGTCCTTGGCGTCGACGAGGAAGACGATGCCGTTCACCTCGGGGAAGTAGTCCTTCCATAGGCGCCGGGCTGAAACGTTGCAGAAAGAACCGTGGCGTCAGCACTTGACAAACCATAACACCAAGGAGGGGGGCGGCATCGAAAGTTCGACGACGTGCGGGTGGGGGTTGACGTACCTTGTTGATGACCACCAAGATCAAAGGTGGTGAAGCGGACGTTGCCGATGGCAAGCTCCTCAGAAGCTAGATCCCCGGGGAGCGGTTAGCCATGTCGGAGACGCTGGGCGGAACGGGCCAGATAGGTTGGAACATGGGGATGACTGACTTGGGTGCAGGGTGGGCTGAAGGATTGCGACACGGTCGTTCTGTAGGGCGAGCAAGGAAGAAGCAGTCCGTTAGCTTGTCGATGGTAACATAAACAGGCGCCGCTGGCCTATCCGAGACGGCGACCAGGGAGGGATGCCGTGTGCACACACCTTTAGCATGTGCAGCAGCGTGGTCTTGCCGGCATTATCGAGTCCGAGGAAGAGCAGCTTGGCGTGCTTGTTGAGCAGGCCAAGCGAAGAGAGGACGTCGTAAAACCAGTTGATGATCCACATGACGGCAGCGAGGCGAATCGCCTGTTTTCGCTCTGTCCTTTTTTTTCTTTCTGGCCTGCGCGGCGGATATGTCGGTCGGTCGAGGCTTCGGGGGCTTGGCTCTTGCACCGGCGGCGTCGAGATGGCGGTCGGGAGAGTGGCTCACTTGCTGACAGAAGGCGGGTGGGTGAGTTGAGATTGGTGGATGGAGACAGTGAGGAAGAGAAGGGTTGGCAGATTCGGGAGGCTGCTGCGCGGGTTCAAAATGTCCACCGAGCCAGAGGGTCCGAGTTCCTGAGACGGGAGCTCCGGCGGTCATGGGCGATTTATCACGGCACTGTGGCACCTGGCAAAGCTGGCCTTCTGGCGTATTCCATGCCGTTGTTGTTGCCTTATTCCCGAGGCAGCGAGTCAGCTGGCAAGTCACACCGAGGTGGCACCCAACGTGGCAGGCAGCACAACAGCCCACCGTTTCTCCCAACAAGTCCAGATTGGTGCGCCACCCGCCATTTCGCCACAGGCACAACTCAAACTGCACGACTGGAGCGTGAACCAGACCCGTCCTGGACAGGTATTTATGTGCCAATTTTCTGGCAAGCAGTGTCAGGATGGACGATAATAGATTGAGAATCTCAAGATTTGACATTGGCTTCTCAAACACGCCCCCATCCACCCCAGGCTACATACAAAGATCGGCTTCGCCCAAGTTGATGCTCAGCCAATGCGCCGGGGGAGAGAAAAAAAAAGAAGAAAAAAAAAGCAGAAAAGAAGAAACGAAGGAGGTAAACTTTGGGGGAAGTCACTCTTGATTGAATGCAAGATTAAATGACTGTAGCCCTCGCTCCCCATGCATGGGTATCTGAATTGTGAGATGCGCGCGACGATGGCTTGAATGCGGGAACGGGAGAAGGCAATGCGTCCGAAGCAGTGAGACCACCCAAAAAGAAAGATGCATGACTGCCGAAGGGCATTCATGAATAGCAGGAGAGACCAGGAAAATGAGAAGAGAAAAAAAAAAACGCAGTCTCTAAATATGTACGGACGAAGACTCAAGCTTGACTTGAGACATCGGAGAAAGAAAAAAGAAAGAAAAAGACGACAGGGATGACGTTATACTAAAGATGCATAGAGTGGAAAGGCAAGAAGATGAGACAAATGAAGACTGCGTTGCCACAAGGTGAAAAAGAGAAAATCAAACGGTTAATTCAATGCTGGCCTCCCAATTCGCTTGCAACTCCTTGTTGTGCGATGCCCTCCTTCCCGATGATGCGCCTTGATAATGGTATAAGTGACAAAATGATAAATGATAAAATGCGGGATGTCAGTGACGAGGACGGAGATGGCCAAATCAGACAGAAAGAACATAATTTTTGGGGCTTAGCTTGCCAGCCATCAGCAGACCCAGCTCCCTCATGCGCTCCGCTCCCTTGCCGGGCTGCGGACGTCGCTCCTGTGCCAGCCCCTTGCGGGCGCGGTTGCACTGCTTCTCCTTGAACTTTTCCCTGCGGCGCTGGCGCCGGTGCTCCAAACCCTTCACAATGTCAATGGCTCCCCGGACGTGCCCCTCCTTGGAGATAGGGGCGGGCCTCTTGCGGTGGTGCGACGACTTGAGGTGTCCCATCAGGGCGGGCGCCCTGGGCAGCGACTTTGTGTGGGTGAGGCCGGGACGGAATGCCAGCGCTTTGAAGACGACCCGCTGTCCACCATGGATCGGAGACGCGTGGGGCGAGACAGTGGCCTGAGGGGGCGGCGGGGACCGCAGCCGGCGAGGCGGCGAGTGGCGGTCAAAGAGACGACGGGGAGGGGGCGATCTGCCTCGGGCTCTGGGTGGAGGCGAGTGCAGGCGCTTGGGCGAGTTGAGCTTCTTCTTGGGCCGCTCGACATGGTCGTCGTCCACGTCAAGACCCTCAATCTCGCCATGAAGCCACACGTGCTCTTCGCTATTCCGGTGCAGGGGCCTGAAAGAGGCGTCGTCCTCGTCCTCGGGCTCCGAGGTTGGGAAGCTAGGGTCGATGTCCTGCGGAATCAGGCGAAGCTTCTCAGTTTTGCGAGCATTGATGCAGGTCAGGTAAGCCTCCTCAAGTGGCCGGTCCTCATCCAGGGTCCCGCAGACGAAATCGGTACTGTCGGGGAGATCAGGGGTATCGGGGCGGACGGGATTACGAGGCGACGAGCGCGACATCTTGCGCCGGGACGACGTCGCATGGCCGGGAGAGAATGCGGACGAATCCGACAGCTCGCTGATGGAAACACGGCGCTGGAACGAGCTGGCGGGAATTCTGGTAGCGGCTGAATGGCCACTAGTTGACCACAGCACGAGTCCGTCGTCGTCGTCATCATCAGACTCGGCAAACCCATCCTCCTCGTCGGTGCGGTATCCGTCCGAGGACTCGTGGTCGGACCCATAGCCCGCCCAGGCGTCATCGAGATCGGCGTCGTCGCCATCGTCGCCATCCTCGTCGTCAACATCGTCAGCGTTGTCTGCCTGATCAGCCTCGCCGGCATCCGCCTCTTCCTGCTCGGCCTCCTCCTCGGCCTCCTTGCCAAGACGGCTGATGGCCAGTTCCATCTGGAGAGTATCCTCAATGGTCAACCTTCGCTGCGCATTGACGGTGTCTTGGCGGATCCAGTCATCCTCCTGGACCTCGTCGGTTGCAAACTCGTGGAATCGAGAGGCCTCGTCCTTGAGATCGTTGGGGCTGGCCGACAGGAAATTCCGGAAGCGAACGGTGGCATTGTTTTCCGTTGATCTTCTAGGTGTGGCAGATCGGTTGGAGCGGGAGTTCGTCGAGGGCGAGCGGATCTTCCTCGGAGCCGCAGACAGCATCACGTTGCTCCCCGAGGCACGGGTCTTTGGAGCGGCCTTCTGCGGGGCATCCGTCTTCCCCGCATCGCAGGCAAACTTGATACAAGGCCGCTTGGGTGCAACGATGGTCGGAACAGGCTTGGGCGTCACGATCTCTGTTGGAGCACGGGGCTGCGGGGCGGCGGCGCAGGCAAACGATATGCACCGCTTCTTTTCGCCGTTCTGAGGGACGCCGGTTTGCCTTGCCACCTTGACAGCATCAAGTCCAGCGTCGACAGTAGCGAAAGACTCCTGGGGCAGGCGCGGGCTCGGTGAGCTTGTACGAGCCGGCGTCGTGAGGGCCGTATCGCAGCTGAGGTCGGCGGTGGACGCGACGCTGATGTTGCTAGCAAGCGAGCGCCGGCGCCTGGAACTTGGACGCAGATCCTCTCGACCCTCGAGGGAGTCGTCCTCGGAGTGGCTCTGGAGAGCCTTGGTCAAGAGGGAGGGGTAGCACTCGGGCACAGGGCGGAAGATGGCCTTCTGGAACCGCTTGGATGTTGGAGAAAGCCCCAGGGGACGTTCGTCCGGGGGTTCGTCGGCATCAGTAGATGGCTCTTCTTCTGTCTTGGAGGCTACGGCGGGCGTGATGGCGTGCAGGGCCAGCAGGCTCGCCGAGGGGAAATCTTGTGGCTTGTGGTTTTGCATGGTGGGTGTCTTGTTTCCTTCGTTGGTCCAAAGCGGAGAAGAATAGGGATAAGGAAGGTAAGATGAAGAGAATAGAGTAGAAGGGAAGACCTCGTGCGTAGTAAGAGGATTAAATGCGAGTAGAAGAGATGACGATGTGATGAACGATGAACAAGATTGGCCCGCAGTGCCGGATTGGGTATATCCCGTGCAAGTGACGAGCCGAAGCAACAGAAACTTTCCGTGCGCCCGGTCCTTGCTGTTGTCGGTTGGAGGACAAGGTACCCGAAATACGATCAGATGCGTTGCAGTCAAGTTGCTATCGTTGAAACACCAGCGGCCAGCAACAAACAGTCCAGGTGCGGTGAGATGAGCGGGAGGTAGTGTATAGCAATCAGCAGATCTGGGAGATGTCGGTTGCTGAGAAGCTGCGCGCAGTCGAGGGAGATATCCGCGGCTGTTGGTAGTGTCCCTAAGGACCGTCTCGCTATAACATGGAGATCATCGTCAAGGGCAGGAGACAGGTGAGTGGGTGTTGGGATGAAAGTGTGCGGGCGAGGCTGTGTTGGAGGAGGATTCGCCGCCTCGTGCTGTTCGCGGATGTGGGCGAGAGTCTGTCTGGTGGTGGTGGTCTGGGTGCGAAGGCAGGCAGTTGGGAAGGTTGAGAGAAATAAAAGGTCAGGTTGAATACGAAAGCAAAGTTGTGTGACGAAGTCGTGGAGCGCCGTGGCCTCGACTCGCCGCCAGATGGGGTTTGGCCAAAGCAAGAGAAATTGACGACGGCTGAAAAATCCAGGGTCAGCAGTGGGAGTTGGTGGGAGGGGTGGTTGTGTTTATCATCAATCATACCGGATTAGTCCCGACCTTTCGTTCGCAGACACCGGTGTCGGGCCAGAAAGGGATCAGGATCCAAGGGGGCCCCTGGCTGCTGCTAGCGGCTGGGTCCTTCCGAGCGAAATTCCGTTGTGCTCCTTTTTTTCTTTTTCTTTTTTTTGTTCGTTCTTTCCCATTCCTCTTCCCACTTCCCTGCCTGGACTTGGCTGTGACGCCTCTTCAGGTGGCACGCTGATCCAAATCAAATTCTGTAATGCTGAATGGCTCTGCCAGCTGCGCTTGTGCGACAAAAAAACAATGCAGGGTCCAAGGTCTTCTCGAAGGGCAGCTGGCCGGGCACGCTGACCACAGCAAATCTCAAATCTCGCCCCTTCCGATGGATGGAAACTCGTCAATTCGAGGGTGGGCACGCCACTAAGGTACCTAGGTACCTGCACTGTAGTGAGCCGTAGGCCCGGATGGCGCTAATCAGAGGGGGGGGTGTGCACAGGACTGGGCCAGCCATCAGGAATGCAGCTCCACTGTGCTGCTGCTGCATACTGGCGCGTGCGCACCAGGCAGGCGGCTCAACTGCCTGCCCGCACGTTCGCCCACCACCAGATGTCTTGGTGTGCATGGGGGGTCCGCCCGGCCACATGAAGCTACGATCGACCCGTCGACAAACCAAATGGGTCGCAGAAGATGAGGCGTGCGAGAGTTCCCACTGGGCACCCCTCCCCAACGATCCCAATCCAAGTTCATTGAGGGAAAGGATTTTTTAAAAGATTTTCAGCGGCAATTGAGCTGCGGAGTCAGACATGAATCACCCGGAGCTGGCTGGCATTTGCCTCGGTACAGTGTGTACATGTACATTGATGGGGTACAGCCGCTCACTGCGTAGTAAAGCGTGGTGTGCTGACAATTCCCGCTGTCACCCGCCCTGATTGGCTCCTGCCAGCGCAATAAAACAAACACACAAAGGGCAGAGGGGGGCTGGGAGGCAATTTTTGCAAAGTCTTTGCGCTTCGCTTCGCTAGCAGCCATGCTCGAGCCATGGCATCCCCTTGGACTCTGACCGCCGGACTGGGAAAGGCCATGTGCATGTGTCGTCCGAACAAATTCTAGAAGCGGTCATCCGCGATCGGCCTAGGCAGCGCGCCGTTGTTTGGCCCGCCGTCTTCCCAGAGAAGACCCAGAGCGACGTCCCAGCCAGGCGGCCGCCGTCCCTGTTTAGCAATTTAGCAACGGGCGCGGCGTTTCAATCGTCTCCAGCGTTTGCCAGCCCATGGTGCCCTTGGCCAGCGGCAATCAATCTGGAGGGTGCTCTGTTGTGCTCTGCTGTCATTCCGGTCTGCTCTGACAGCTGTGATGATACAGTCGGCTGCTGGGACCGGCACAGGACGCTCGTCCATCCATCCCTCCCCCCTCTCCTTGGCAGCGTGCCACGCCAAGCCCTCGCGTCGTCAGCACGGCAGGCATGATGCGGTTAAGCCCCGGCGTTCCACCATGCTGCCGTCAACCATGCCCACAGGACAACCTAAGCTTTTCGCATCTCGGGGTGGCTGTGGTACTGTGGTGTTGGGTGTCTGGCATGCCAGACCGCTCAGGAGCCCGCGGGCCTCGAGTTTCCACCCCTAGCGAAGCGGTGAATCTGGATGTGCCGAACGGTGTGCGTGCATCTCGTGCTATCCACCCTGTGTCCTACTGGCCCGCGCGTCCAACTAGGGAGGTACACCCTTGGGAGGGGGGGGGATGGAACCCCGAAGTGAAGCCCCGTCCGGGCATTTACTGACACTACCACAGCACATACATGACATATCGACCCCGTACCCACCGACCCATGTGCTTACGTTTGCGTATACGCGAGATGTATCTGTAGGGTGAGGGCTGGCCGTCAAGGTACTGTGTACCTAGCAGTTCCGACAAACCCCCCACCCCATCCCACACCACACCACACCACACATTTCCATGGTGGTTGCACTGAGAAAGGCATGCGTGGGCGGTTGGTGAGCGAATGCAGTGCTTCGGAGCCTGCGCCAAAAAGAGACGGCGCACTGGGCGACCGGCTGGCAGACACCTAGGTAGCTTCGCCTCTAAGCGATGAGCTCATCTGGCACGGGACTGGGCGGGTAGGCAGAGACCAAAAAAAAAAGGCAAAGACAAAAGGAGGAACAAAAAAAAACAGGAAACCGACAGTACCCGTCGCCCAGCACCAGACGCGGACATGCCAGCACCTGGGATTTAGTCCACCAGGTCGAGCTCAATAGGCCCGCTAAAAGGCCGCGATGCGGATAAGGGGACGGACACCAAGGGGAAAAGTGGCATAACATGCGCCTGCATGAGCGTCGGCGTGGACGCGCACGCGCACGGGCTGCCCAGGACGCCAAAATGAAAACGAGGCAGAGAGCAGAGAGGGGAAACGGGTTGAAACAGCTCTTGTGGCGCCACGGGCCACGCCCCGTTTCTTCCATCCGCCGCCCCCCGTGGCCTGCGAGCCTGTGGCTTGCAGATCCTAGGACCCTTTTCCGAATATGTCCGCTGCGTCCTCCCCCGTGTAGGGATGGTTGGATGCCTCTTTCCCCTCCTCGTCCTCTCCCCTCCCTTGCAGAGGAGCATCGGCTGCAGTAAACTCATGTATGTGCTAACTAGGCCGTCGACGGTTGCGATTCGGTGACATGTTTTGCAGGTCTCCACCGCCGGTGCCGGGGGGAGCGCTCTGCACCAACAGCGTCGTACCACTGGCTGAGTGGCTGCAGCTTGTGCGAGCTGTGAGCTGTTGTGAGATGCGGC